AGTCCACAGCGCCACACCATAAAATAGTTAGCAATTCCAAACTCTTTCATTTTCCATGTTGACTTGCTTCTATTGAGTTTGTGTCCCCCTGTAACTGACTAATTTGTACAAATGCTCTTTGGTAACACACATGTAATGTTAAGGAAGTTTGTGGAGTAAAAATAATATCAGCCCCGAAAAACTAACATTTGCGTGTGGCGCTGTGGGTTAATGCGCCAGCCTGCAAAGCCATTTGAACTGCAAGGTCAGCAGTTCAAGTTCACCAGTTGCTCCTCGGAAACCCTATACAGGGTTGTTATGGGTCGGAACCGACTCAAGGGCACTTCACAACAACAACATGCAATATGTATATATGCAAAATATACCTTAAAAGAAATAACTTACTTTAAAGCATCATATATTATTTTTCTTCATTCAACCCACAAAAATATTTACATCCTATAAATAATTATGTAAATATTGCTCTCAGAATTTATTTAAATTCTACTTCTTAGAATCAAGAATGAGACTGTTTACAACCAAAACAGAATAAAATAACCATAAAAACAACAAAAGTGATGCTGTACTTGAGGATTTAAGACTTGACTTTGAGCTTTTGAGAAGGCAGGTTTCAAGGCACAGCAGGATCAACTTTTAATTCAAAATATGGAAATGCTGCCCCATACAGAATCTAAACAAAATTCTCACCTTGTGGCTTAACCATTTCTTATATGTGAATTAAGAATACAAGGTTTTTTCTCTCAATATAAGGAATTGCTTTCTACCAAACTACACAAATATAAAGTATTATAAAGACTTAATTCATTTCAGGGGCTATAAGAAGACTGGTGTCTGTATTAAAGAAAGGGGAATTTTGGCACAGAGGAGACACACCAGCAAGAAAGCCATGTGAAAATGAAAGCTGAGATTTGAGTGATACAGTTACAAACCAAAGAATGCCTAGGACTGCTAATAACCACCAGAATCGAGGAAGAGTCAAGTAAGGAAGTTCCTACTAAAACCTAAAATTTGAATTTAGAGAATAAATTTGTTGGTTAAAACCTCACTGTTACTGAGTCAATTCTGACTGATGGTGAACCTACAGGGCAGAGCAGAACTGATCCTTACGATTTTCAAGACGATATATACATCTTTACAAAAGCAGAGAGCCTCATCTTTCTCCGGCAGATTGGCTAGTGGGTTTTGAATCATGAACCATGTGAGTAGCAGCACAGCACTTAACCAAGTGTGCCACCAGGACTGCTTTCTGTTGATGGTTGTTGGTATGTGTCATCGTTTTGGTTCCAACCGATGTTGTTGTTATGTGCCATGGAGTCAGTTCCGATTCATAGCGGATGTTGTTGTTGTTATGTGCCATGGAGTCAGTTCCGATTCATAGCGACCCTGTACAGGTTTCCGAGGCTGTAAATCTTTATGGGAGCAGAAAGCCTCATCTTTCTCCCACGGAACAGTTGGTAGTTTCGAACTGCTGACCTTGTGATTTGCAGCCCGATTAGTAACCACTACGCTACCAGAGCTCCTTCTTGTATAGGGTTCCTGAGGAATGACTGGTGAGCCTGAACTGCCAAGCTTACAGTTCAAATTGACTTTGCAGTCCAACGCATTAACCCGCAGCATCACACCAGGACCCCTCTATGTGTGCTACTTTGCTTTGGCAGTATAAGGAAATCGCAGTGCAGTAAATTATTTCATCGTTTCTACTACCCTTGTCTTTATAACTCCCACCAAACAACTATTTTTTCCTGATGGGTCTGGGTAAAATAAGGTGGAGAAGAAACTGATAAGTATTATTCAGTTCTAAATGACTAACAGGGCTAAAGGTGATTGTGAAAACTGGGAACTCTAATGTGGTTATACAATGAGCCATCTAAAAACAGGATGTTAGAAGAAACGGAGCCAGGTCCTTTGGACCCCAATAGCTGAACTTGCACATTGAACCTCCTCACCTCAGGGACAGAAAGTAGTAACACAGGAGGAGAACACAGGAGTGGCTGCAGCAGAACCAAGGGTCAGAGTATGAGACAGAGTGGTGGACTTCTTGGCCCACGGAGCTAGTAAGTCTAGCTTAGTAATAGTTTACACAGACAAGAACAGAAGTATATCATTCATTTCTGAAACATTTCAATCTAAATGATTAAGTAAATTAATATGTTAATTCCATAAACATTCATTCTTTTAAAATAGTTGACAAATTAATTCACCATGCTAATATTTTTAACAGTGGCTAGAATGATGAATTATTTTTAAAAGACATCTTTTAAAAATCAGTGTATTCTTATAATAGCCCATAGAAACTGAAATAGAAATCAAATTGGATGTATATTCCCTACTGTGATAATTAAATGTCTACTAGATGGAAAGTACAAGGAGCTCTGGTAGCGTAGCGGTTATGAATCAGGCTGCTAATCTCATGGTCAGCAGTTTGAAATTATCAGCTGTTCTGCACTAGAAAGATGAGGCTTTCTGCTCCCATAAAGATTTACAGCCTTGGAAACCCTGTACAGGGTCGCTATGAATCAGAACCGACTCAATGGCACATAACAACAACAGAGGGAAAGTATACCTAAATTAAATTATGTGGTATTTATTAGACAGTTCAAGAATATCTTTTGGACCATCACCAACAAAAGCATTAAATAGGAGCTATGTAATTCAGTAAGATTATCTAATTTTCAAAACTGAGACTTGCAAAGTAACAAAACAGGTAAAATTTCATTATTAATATTGTCATAGTAAGATTTTAAAAATTAACGTTTATACAGTTAAATGTTTTCTTAGTCATTTTTGAAAAGACAAGAGACACTTACAGTAGTTTTATCTAATTCAGCCTCTGATGATGTTGGTGACAAAGGACTTATGGGGCTTAGAGACGGGGAGCTCTCAAGACTGGAGACATACTCGGGATCAGGAACATATAAAACCTAAAAAATATATTCAACAAAAGGATTCAGCAAACTAAAATTATAGGTAATATTCTATAAGCAAGCACCATTAACTCTGATATTTAGCAATAAATACAAAAACAACTTTCAGATTAAAATAATACATAGTCCTGTAAGTTAACAAAATAAAAATTAAAGAAAGCAAAGATATCTAACATCAATTTCGACAAGTTTGATAACACATATTGCTGGCAATAGTGTGGGAAAACAGTAAGAATCATATACAACTGATATTCTTAAAAGACAGTCTGACATTGGCTATAAAAATGAATGCACATATTCTTCTAGAAATTCAATCTGTAAAAATGCTAGTACATGGCTTGATAATCAGAACTCGACTAGAGGAAGAGAAAAAAAAAA